GATGAGATAATAGAACTGATGCTGAGATAGATAGATAGATAGATAGATAGATAGATAATGAACTGATGCTGAGATAGATATAATAGATAGATGCTGAGATAGATAGATAATGAACTGATAGATGGGCGAGATAGATAGATATAGATAGATAGATAGATAATGAACTGATGCTGAGATAGATAGATAGATAATATAGAACTGATGCTGAGATAGATAGATAGATAGATAGATAGATAGATAATGAACTGATGCTGAGATAGATAGATAGATGAATATGATGATAGATGAATAGATAGATAATAGATAGATGAATAGATGATAGATAGATAGATAGATAGATAGATAGATAGATAGATAGATAGATGAAATATGCTGAGATAGATAATGATAATGATGATAGATAGATAGATAGATAATGAACTGATGCTGAGATAGATAGATAGATAGATAATGAATGATGATAGATAATGATAGATAGATAGATAATGAACTGATGATAGATAGATAATGAACTGATGCTGAGATAGATAGATAGATAGATAGATAATAGATAATGAATGATGCTGAGATAGATAGATAGATAGATAGATGATGAGATAGATAGATAATGAACAGATGAAAAGATAGATAGATAAAATGAACTAGATAGATAGATAATGAACTGATGCTGAGATAGATAGATAGATAGATAGATAATGAACAATGCTGAGATGCTGAGATAGATAGATAGATAGATAGATAGATAGATAGATAGATGATGAGACTGATGAGATAGATAGATAATAATATAGATAGATAGATAGATAGATAATGAACTGATGCTGAGATAGATAGATAGATAGATAGATAATGATGCTGAGATAGATGAGATAGATAGATAGATAATGAACTGATGCTGAGATAGATAGATGGATAGATAGATATATGAACTGATGCTGAGATAGATAGATAGATGAATGCTGAGATAGATAGATAGATAGATAATGAACTGAGATAGAGATAGATAGATAATGATAGAAATGAGATAGATGAGATAGATAGATAGATAGATAGATAATGAACTGATGCTGAGATAGATAGATAATGAACAGATGCTGAAGATAGATAGATAGATGAATAGATGCTGAGATAGATAGATGATAGAATGATAATGAACTGATGCTGAGATAGATAGGATAATGAACTGAGATAGATAGATAGATGATAGATAGATAGATAATGAACTGATGCTGAGATAGATAGATAGATAGATAGATAGATGATATGGATAGATGAGATGATAGATAGATAGATAGATAATGAACTGATGCTGAGATAGATAGATATGATAGATAGATAATGAGATAGATGCTGAGATAGATAGAGATAGATAGATAGATAATGAACTGATGCTGAGATAGATAATGATAGATAATGAACTGATGCTGAGATAGATAGATAATGAACTGATGCTGAGATAGATAGATAGATAGATAGATGATGAACTGAGAGATAGATAGATAATGAACTGATGCTGAGATAGATAGATAGATAGATAGATAGATAGATGATAGATAGATATGATAGATAGATAGATAATGAACTGATGCTGAGATAGATAGATAAATGAACTGATGCTGAGATAGATAGATAGATAGATAGATAGATAGATAATGATGATGGATGGATAGATAATGAACTGATGCTGAGATAGATAGATAGATAGATAGATGAACCGATGAACTAGATGGATAGATAGATAGATAACTGATGAGATAGATAGATAATGAACTGATGCTGAGATAGATAGATAGATGGATGGAGAATAGATGAAGATAGATGATGATAGATAGATAGATAATGAATGATGATGAGATAGATAGATAATGAACTGATGGATAGATAGATAGGATAGATAGATAGATAGATAATGAACTGATGCTGAGATAGATAGATACGAACTGATGCTGAGATAGATAGATGGAACAGATGCTGATAGATAGATAGATGGATAGATAATGAACTGATGCTGAGATAGATAGATAATGAACTGATGCTGAGATAGATAGATAGATGGATAGATGATAGATAGATAATGAACTGATGCTGAGATAGATGATAGATGGATAGATGAATGAACTGATGCTGAGATAGATAGATGATGATAGATAGATAGATAGATAATGAACTGATGCTGAGATAGATAGATAGATAGATGAATAATGAACTGATGCTGAGATAGATAGATAGATAGATAGATAATGAACTGATGCTGAGATAGATAGATGGATAGATAGATAGATAAATGAACAGATGCTGAGATAGATAGATAGATAGATAGATAGATAGATAATGAACTGATGCTGATAGATAGATAGATAATGAACTGATGAGATAGATAGATAATGAACTGATGATAGATAGATAGATAACTGATAGATGAGATAGATAGATAATGAACTGATGCTGAGATAGATAGATACAGACAGATGCTGAGATAGATAGATAATGAACTGATGCTGAGATGAGATAGATAGATAGATAGAACTGAATGAACTGATAGATGAGATAGATGATAGATAGATAGAACTGATAGATGAGATGAGATGATAGATAGATAGATAGATAATGAACTGATGCTGATAGATAGATAGATAGATAGATGGATAGATAGATGCTGAAGATAGATAGATAATGAAACTGATGCTGAGATAGATAGATAGATGGATAGATAGATGATAATGAACTGATGCTGAGATGATAGATAGATAGATAGATAGATGAATGAGATGAGATAGATAGATAGATATAGATAGAGATAGATAGATAATGAACTGATGCTGAGATAGATAGATAAATGAACTGATGCTGATAGATGAGATAGATAGATAGATAGATAGATAATGATAGATATAGATAGATAGATGGATAGATAATGAACTGATGCTGAGATAGATAGATAGATAGATAGATAGATGGATAGATAATGAACTGATGCTGAGATAGATAGATAGATAGATAGATGATAGATGATGATAGATAGATAGATAGATAGATAGATAGATAGATAATGAACTGATGCTGAGATAGATAGATAGATAGATAGATAGATAGATGAACTGATGCTGAGATAGATAGATAATGAACTGATGCTGAGATAGATAGATAGATAGATACTGATGAGAGATAGATAGATAGATAATGAATAGATAGATGCTGAGATAGATGAGATAGATAGATAGATAATGAACTGATGCTGAGATAGATAGATATAGATAGATAGATAATGAACTGATGCTGAGATAGATAGATAGATAGATAATGACCTGATGCTGAGATAGATAGATAGATAGATAGATAGATAGATGAATGATGAGATAGATAGATATAATGAACTGACTGATGCTGAGATAGATAGATAGATAGATAGATAGATGAACTGATGCTGAGATAGATAGATAGATAGATAGATAATGAACTGATGCTGAGATAGATAGATAGATAGATAATGAACTGATGCTGAGATAGATAGATAGATAGATAGATAGATAGATAATGAACTGATGCTGAGATAGATAGATAGATAGATAGATAGATAGATAATGAACTGATGCTGAGATAGATAGATAGATAGATAGATAGATAGATAGATAGATAGATAATGAACTGATGCTGAGATAGATAGATAGATAGATAGATAATGAACTGATGCTGAGATAGATAG